GGGGGGGGGGGGGGGGTGCGGTGCTGGGGGAGTAGCTTAGGATGGAGCTGGTTACAATTCTGACTGTCTCTCCCTGCCTGTGCTGACAGGGTGGCTACAATCTGACAGCGATCTCCGAATCGATGGCCATGTGCACACGGACCTTGCTGGGAGATACCCCGCCTTACCTCGAACCCATGGGCCAGCCAGCTAGCAGTGCAACTGAAACAATTAACAACGTCATCTCAGTCCATCACAAGTACTGGGCCAGCCTTCGACTGCTGTGTGAGAGTCCCTCTCGGCTTTAGGAAGCAGCTTTCTGTATTGGTACCTCCGCTCTGCCCCTCTCCGCCTCCCCATCCAACCGAAATCATTCGAGACTCATTGGGAATGCTTGGCTGAGCTCCAAATCTCCCTCCCTCCACCACTGACACTCTGAGGTAGAGAGACTCATTGGGAATGCTTGGCTGAGCTCCAAATCTCCCTCCCTCCACCACTGACACTCAGACCTAGAGAGACTCATTGGGAATGCTTGGCTGAGCTCCAAATCTCCCTCCCTCCACCACTGACACTCAGACCTAGAGAGACTCATTGGGAATGCTTGGCTGAGCTCCAAATCTCCCTCCCTCCACCACTGACACTCAGACCTAGAGAGACTCATTGGGAATGCTTGGCTGAGCTCCAAATCTCCCTCCCTCCACCACTGACACTCAGACCTAGAGAGACTCATTGGGAATGCTTGGCTGAGCTCCAAATCTTAACCCTCCACCACTGACACTCAGACCTAGAGAGACTCATTGGGAATGCTTGGCTGAGCTCCAAATCTTAAACCTCCACCACTGACACTCAGACCTGGAGGGGCTCATTGGGAATGCTCGGCTGCGCTCCAAACCTCACTCCCTCCACCATTGACGTAGAGAGGTAGGTTGTCTCATTGGGAATGCTCGGCTGAGCTCCAACACTCCCTTCCCCCACCACCCACGCACAGTCGCAGCAGTGTGTACCATCTACGAGACACACCGCAGCGACTTGCCGAGGCTCCCCCGACAGCACCTTCCGAACCCCGACACCCTCTTAACCCCCCCCCCACCCGGAAGGGGCAGCAGACGTAGAGGGGGGAGCACCAGCCCCTGACACGCCATCCTGAGTGGGAACGATAGAGGCTGTTCCTTCAGGGTCAGAATCCTGGAACTCCCTCCCTAACGGGGAGTTGAGGGGGTGGGGGGTGGTGGTTCACTGTGTCCCTACACCACACGGGGAGGTTTTGGGAGTTGTTGGGGGGGTGCGGGTGAGGTGGGTTACTGTAGCAGCTCAAGAAGGGAAGGTAAATATGTGATTACTGTCAATATTTGGAAGCTTGCAAGGTGGGGTCCGACTCTTTTTAAGCTGTTTAACAGGGCGGGGGCAATTTAGGAGGGGATGGTATATTGGGACAGAAAGTGTAATGGCTGAGAAATGGAAGACACAGTGTTGGAATGAGGTGGGGGGGGGTGCATTTTCAGTGTGGCACCCTAACTTTGCACAGGAACGAGTGCCACAGTAATTTACAACGCGTTAAATAATTTACAGCACATTAAATAATTTACAGTGCGTTAATGAAAGCTATATTGGATACGAGTGTAGGAGGTACGGTTTGCAGATGGCATCAAAATTGGGGCTGTAGTGGGCAGAGAAGGGGTTTACCTCAGACTACAACGGGACCTGGATCAGATGGGCCGAGGGGGAGCAGATGGAGTTTAATTTAGATAAACGTGAGGTGCTGTATTTTGGGAAAGGGTCATCAGGACAAGACTTGTACACTTCCTGGTAAGTTCCTGGGGAGTGTTGCTGAACAGAGAGACCTTGGGGGGCAGGTACATAGCTCCTTGAAAGTGGAGTCGCAGGCAGACAGGGCGGTGAAGAAGGGGTTTGGGACGCTTGCCTTTATTGGTCGGTGCGTTGAGTGTAGGAGTCGGGAGGGTCACGTTGCGGCTGTATTGGTGAGGCCACTTTTTGGAATACTGCGTTCAATCCCGGTCTCCCTGCTACAGGAAGCATGTTGGGAAAGGTTTCAGAAAAGGATGTTGGAGGGTTTGAGCTGTAGGAAGAGGCTGGGGGCTATTTTCCCTGGAGCGTCGGAGGCTGAGGGGGTGACCTTATAGAGGTTTATAAAATCACGAGGGGTATGGATAAGGTGATTAGCCAAGGTCTTTTCCCCCAGGGGTGGTGGAGTCCAAAACTAGAGGGACGTAGGTTTAAGGTGAGAGGGGAAAGGGACCTGAGGGACATCATTTTCACGCAGAGGGTGGTGCGTGTTTGGAAGGAGCTGCCAGGGGAAGTGGCGGAGGCTGGTACAATGACAACATTTAAAAGGCATCTGGATGGGGACATGGATAAGGAAGGGTTTAGAGAGATAGGGGCCAAATGCTGACAAATGGGACCAGACCAATTTAGGATATCTGGGTCAGCACGGACGAGTTGGACCGAAGGGTGTTTCTGTGCTGCACGGCTCTATGACTCAGATGAGGGAAGTGGATAAATTATCGCCGGGTTTGCGAATAACACCAAAAAAAAAAGATTGAACGAGGCGATGCTCAGAGTCTCCTGAGGGATAGAGACAGCTTACAGCGAACGCAGCCATACGTTTGGCAGCTGGAACCTAACTGTGGGGAGACGTGCCCTTTGGCAGGACGTGTAGGGGAGCTGAATGTCGCTTAAATGGAGAACGACTGCGGAAAGCCGTGGGGCGGAGGGATTTGGGAATCCACTTCCGAAAAGGTCAGTGTCCAGGTTTAGTGGGAAGGCAAATGGAGGGTTGGCCTTTATTGCAAAGGGAATGGGGTTAAAAATAAAAGTAGGGAGGCCTTGCTACGACCAAGGAAGTAACTCTGAACAGAAGGAAAGGCAGCATTGGGGCACCAATTTAAGACTGAGGTGAGGAGGAATTTTTTTCTGTCAGAGGGTTGTGAGAGTCTCTGGAATTCCTTGCCACAGAGAGCTATCCGGGGAGGGGGGGGCGCGGTGGTGTCGGGGTTGGGGGCTGGTGGGGAACACAGTGCTTGCAGATAGGGGAATCAAGGAAGAGCAGGAAAGTGAGGCAACCCCATTCTCGAGGAGATGAATGGCCTACTCCTACTTCTGTAATGGATGGCAGTCCGGGAAAGGTTCACTCGGCTGATCCCGGGGATGGAGGGGCTGCCTCATGAGGGAGAGGTTGAGTAGGTCGGGTGGAGTTTCGGAGAATGAGGGGGCGACCTTATTGAAACAGAAAAGGTGGGGGGGAGCCTGACAGGGGAGATGTGGAGGGTTCGTTTCCTCCCCCACCTTCTGTGGGAGAGTCTAGGACCAGAGGGGGCATCATCTCAGTGTAGGGGGGTGGGAGTTGCCCATTGAGGACAGAGATGGGGAGGAATTTCTTCCCACCGAGGGGAGTGAGTCTGTGGAATTCTTTACCGCAGAGGGCTGTCGGGGCTGGGTCGCTCGAGGCTGAGATGTTTAATCAGGAAGGGGGATCGAGGGGTTATATTCGAGGCTGAGAGAGAGAGATGTTTAATCAGGAAGGGGGATCGAGGGGGTATATTCGAGGCTGAGAGAGATGTTTAATCAGGAAGGTTATTTGAAGGTTTATATTCGAGGCTGAGAGAGAGAGAGATGTTTAATCAGGAGGGGGAATCGAGGGGTTATATTCGAGGCTGAGAGAGAGAAAGATGTTTAATCGGGAAGGAGAATTGAGGGGTTATATTCGAGGCTGAAGTTTTTAATTATGGGAATCAAGGTTCCTGGGGGGGAAAGGCAGGAGAGTGGATTTGAGGATGATCAGAGCAGCCATGGAGTGACAGAGCAGAATCGATGGGCTGAATGGCCGACTCCTGACACAGTGTGTCTGTCATGATTTATCTTGGAGCGGGATTTTTGCTGTTTGATCTCTGACCTTCTTCTGATTCCAGCTCCCGAGCTCGAGCTACAGAGCAAGGCCAAAGGGACGACATGGTCACAGCAGCCCCCTCCCACGGCCAGTACGTATGCCGATGGCTTTCCTGCGATTTCCACACTGTGCCCGTCCCCAGTGCGCACGCCGTGCGGTCAGTCCAAAACCAAAATGGCTTGTGAAGCTCCCCGTCAACATTTGTAATGGGAACTGGCCTTTATAAATCCGTCACGCTGCAGTGAGGACCTCCCCACCAGCAGGAGGCGCTCTGTGCTGGCTCTTGTATGGATGCTGGCCTCCCACGGTGGGCTGGCGAAGCCTGATGGTGTGGTGGGTGTTGGGGTGGGAGGAATTCCCTTCTGGTCTCGGGCGACCGCACCCCCCGAGCAATCTACCGCAGGAGATCGAGTCCTGAGGGATCCCACGCCAGGTTGACTGGCGGATGGAATCTCGTCTCACGTCAGGCTATACCCTCATTGGGGTATGATCTTACACCCCACTATCAGGTTCCCCTCCCACCGCTCCCCCCCGCCCTCTCACCAGGGGGACTGACTGTGTGTGGGAGTTTCTACATTCTCCCCCGCTGTGTCTGTGTGGGTTTTCCTCTGGGTGCTCCGGTTTCCTCCCACAGTCCAAAGATGTGCGGGTTAGGGTGGATTGGCCGTGCTAAATTGTCCCGTAGTGCCCAGGCATGTGCAGGTTAGAGTGGGATTGGGGAACTGTGGGGTTATTGGGGTAGGGTAGAGGGGCGTTTCTGAGTGGGATGACCTTCAGAGGGTCAGTGCGGACCCGATGGGCCGATGGACCTGCTTCCAAAACCGGAGGGATCCCACGGTTCCCCCAGATCCTCACCCCCATCGTTAACGGTAAGGGGGCCCAGCGCTAGGCTCCTGACGTTTCGACAGCCTGTCTCCTGCCTCTGAGCCGATCCTAGATCCCAAACTAAATAAAAGCAGAGAGATCTCAGAAACCAGCGAGGGCTGGAGGAATCCTGGAGCTTCTGTGGGGAGGGCACCTTTGGCCGAGCCGCTGAGTGGCAGAGAACTGTCGATAATGTTCGCTGATCCTTGCACGTTTTCGCTGTGGATTCGTGTGTTTACATTTCTCTCTCTCTCTCTCTCTCTCTCTCTCAATCATGCCCGCAGTTCCGTCACAAGAGTCGCGCGTCCAAGTCTCTCAAAGCAGGAGGACGTCGATGTGGTTACAACAGCAGGGTATGTGTGTGTTAGCAGAACGGATGTCTCTGTGCATCTCCCAGTCCCGCTATCGCGTTTGCACCGTCTGCAGTACTATCGGGCACAATTCCAACAGCACCCTGTCTCGCTATACAACACACACACACGTCCCAAGGGTTGGTCGTATGAGATTCATCACCCCAGGGGGCGGCTCGCTGTGCCCTTAATATGAACTGGAAGCTCGATATATCTGTGCACTCACTCACTCACTCACACACACTCTCACTCACTCACACACACTCACTCTCTCACACACACTCTCACTCACTCTCACACACACACACACACACACACACACTCTCACACACACACTCTCAC